GTAAAATTTCAGCTTCTTAGCTTTGAGCTTTAAAACAAAAATTAGGGAATATACATATACGCAAAGCTTTAACGCATTTCTACTGCATCAGTGATGCAAAACCCAGGATCTTGTGCTGAGTGGATGCTGTATTAATTGGTGAGTAGATATGAAACAGAACATTTTTAGTTTTTTGATTGTAGACGAGCATCGGACTCATGCTGCTCATTGGCTTCTTTCCCGGCTCGATGAAGTTGCTTTCCGATGGAGCAAATCCGAAGCCGTTCGGCATACCTGAAAATGCACTGATTTATCAAAAACCCAACTCCAAGATTAAAAACGCTTATAAAATTCTTGAATAAAATTTTTAGACATTTTATTTACTGAGTTTCGAAAAAAAGGTCGCCAAGGTCCTTAATACACCGGCGTACAGTCTTCATGATGCTGTTGGATTGTCGTCTATAATTGAGAATTAATAAAGATGCTAGTAATGATATTAATTGTGATATATGTACAAATGTGTTCTGATATATATGTAAATTAAGCCTTTTTCTGCTGGGATGCCTAGTTGCAGACTTTAGATCGCTGTCAAGCCAGTAAGCGCCATCTTCGGTCAGTTTGATCCGGTGCGTTACTACTAGTAAAAAATTTTGATTTTTTTAAAAAATTTCTTGAATTTTACTAAAATTTTTAACGAAGCTTTCTTATTTATTATTTTTGTGAGCACAGCAATAAGTAAAACTTATGGAATTTGGAGAAACTTCACATGGGTCAATCCAATCTCTTCAACATACTCAAAAGTTGTCTCTCATCACAACGAGTTACGCTAGCATTTGTTAATTAGCAATAACATCTTGTCCAATAAAACAACTGGAGAGCAGCGAACACATCATATCCTTATGTTCCTTCATCATCGATCTAAGTTAAATCAGCTCCGCGGAGGACAGGAGTGGGAGGGAAGGAGGGAGGGGCAAGGTATGCCTTGAAACCAAAATACGTAACAATTTCGCTAGTGTCAGCGTATTCAGTAAGATCCAGTAAAGAAAGCACCATAAATTTGCAA